TGAGCCTTGGAAGACTACAATTAACGTAGATAAGAAGTACAAGCTTGCAGACTTTTATGGGAGGGCAAGTCCTGCTCCCCTGCAATCCCTGTGGTGGGCACTCATCAGCCTAGGGTCTGAGTGTAGTGTTTAAGACTGGCCAAACAGCTGGAAACTTGGGGGATCCCAGAAACAAAAGATGAGACATAAAATCTGAGTAGAAGCTCTTCCCATTGCCCTTGCTGTTCACAAAGTTCCACATGTAGGACAGCTGAGGGAGGAGACAAGAACGGTAAGGATGAGACAGAAATCTATTCTTATGAGGCAGATTCACCAGGTGACGACTGAAAGTTAATACCTCTCTATGACTCATGGCAATTCTCCACCTGTACTCTGATGGGAAGGAAACATGGTGGTTTTAACCCACAGGACAAAGCTCAAGGACAGCAATGCTGCTAAAATCTATGAGAGAAGCAGCCAGGGTGCAAGAGGACTTGGGAAGAATGCCTGTACCTCTGCATAAATCTGTGTGTCACTGGCTGGTAACGGCCTGGAGGGACATTGAAGAGCCCACACAGGGCCAGAATATGAAAGCAGCAGCGTGCCACTGAAGAACTGAGCCGTGGATCAACTGCTGCACACTGTGTAAACAAATATATAGCTTGGCTTTAGCAAACTAATTACCCATCGAGACAGACAAATAAATAAAAGCCTAAAATGTCTCCATATGACATCGTAACAGTACACATTGCCACTACACTGCATTACTTAAAATAAAAAGATTCAACCAAGACACCAAATATGCAAATGAGAAGTGACCTGCATTCAGAAAAATAAATAAAATGAGTAGAAAATTAGTCCAAGGGATCCCAGATGTTAGGTATGACAAGGTTTTCAAAGCAGCTGGTAAAAATATGCTTAAGGAATTAAAAAACAAAACAAAACATGGTCTTCAAGTGAACAGACAGGACATGTCAACATAGAGATAACACTAAAAGCACTGAAAATTACAATAAAAATCATTATCATCAGATAATGATTAGATATATGATTAGGTATAGTAAAAAATGATCAATGACTCTGACAATATGTTAATAGCAACTGTTTAATTTTAAAACAAAGGGAACATGATTTTTAGAACTGTACAAAACCTCAGAAAATTGCAACCATATTGATTGGTTTAAGTTGATGCAATTGGAGTTCCAGAGGACAAGTGAGAGGCAGAAAAAGACAAAGCAATCACTTGGGGGAAATAATGACCATTAGGTTGAAAGAATGTCAACACTCATTGACTTATAGATCCAAGAATTTCAGTGAGCCAGAAGCAGGAAAGTCAAGGAGAATACAGTCACATCATAACCACTGAAAGGGATGGAGAGGGAGAGAAGGAGCCATGGAGAGAGGGAGGGTGGGAGAAACAGGAGGAGATAAAGAGAACGTCAAAGTTGAAAGTGGCAAGAGAAAAATGGTGCTTTATATGCAAGAGAGCACTTAAATGTTTAACTGTTGACTTCTTAGCAAGGCTTATGGAGGACAAAGAACATTGAAATCACCTTTGATGTTATTTGTTATGAGCCACTCATCACTAACTTTAATTCTGTGTTATTATATGACTGTGTTGTAAAAAAACATCCAAAGACCACAAATACAAAGTATACAACAACAATATTTGTAAAATAAAAGAAGTAATAAAAACATGTGAAATGATTTGAATTTTGTAAACTCGAATTCATGTAAACGATGGAAATATTTGATTGGATACTTTATATACGAGTGATTTTGTACTTCCTCACTTTCTTGTTTTTACTTTTCCATATTTTCAAATTCTGTACAACACAACAATCCATCTTGGAAACTAATATTAGTAAGTGCAATCAAACATAACTGTCTACACTTGACTGTGTTTATCTACTATTTATAAAATGCAATGGGTAAAAACATCTATTTTGAGATCTAAATCACCGACTTATAAGTGATCCTATTTAATACTAACCTATTTGTAAGTGTGAGACTCATATTAAGCATGAAGCCAGTGAAAGCAGTTTAACTGGAAATTGGTTACATCGCCATGGGATGCTTCATGTTCACCAGACAGCCTTGCAACCTGCAGGATTTATCTTACATATCCGCAAGAAAATCAGCACTCTCACTTGCTACCAGGTAACTAAGACCTCAGGAAGACTCTTACAATATACATCACTTCTAATGAACTACAGTTAGATGAACAGCTGTGAACTTTAGAGAGAGGCAAGGCTTCTTTACAGAACATGGTGTTATTTATGGTATTTTGTCTACAGTTCATACAGAAGTCACTAGCATGGTAATTAGTATTACATCTCCACTGAAATAAATTTTTTAGGATCTGGTCCTAATGGCAGGTGTATGCTAATATTTACGTAGTGTAAACCAGGTCTTAGGCCACATTCTTCCATGTATCTGAAGCTCTTTTATCTAAGGAATTGGGGGGGGTAGTATAGTAACACTGTCACTGTGCTTTTCAGAAAACAAGCATTTCTTCCTTACCACCAAGTTAAGTCCTTAATGTCTATAAATAAATTATTGATTTTGAGAGACAGTATATGTATTTCAAGATGCTCCCTACCCAACCTGGATCACAGGTACCAAAGCACTCACCAATCTCCTGACAGAGGAGAATGTGCAGGATGACTGTTGTATACATGCTTCCCTGGGCACGATACTGGGCACAGCATGGCATAGCTCTTTTCCAAATTGAGAAATATCAGGTAGGCAAATATTAAAAACATACACCGATGTAACTGGAGCAAAAGTCGAGGCCATTATGCACCCTCGGAAATGTAACTAACATAAAAAAGGACCTGTAAACACATGTGTGTTGACGAGGAGAGAAAAACAGTAATGTTTTCAAGTCATATGGTATCAGGCAAGCAACATCATTGTCTCATACAACTCTCTTAATTAGTAGGGCAGAAATGGAGCACATATACTAGGATAAAAGATGGAGATAAGTTGTTAAGAAGCTTTGGATGAATCACACTATTAAAAAATTCTAGACCTACAAACCACATTTTTGTCCACAATCATGTAACATTTGTATGGCATCGAAAGAACAATTAAAGAGGACTTTACATTTTTCCATTTGTTGAAATTGTAGTTATCTTATATTCACTTTCTAACCTCAAAAGCTTCTTAAATAACCCGGAGGGTAAATCTGTTCAAAATTTACCCTGGAAAATGGTGTTCTATGAGATAGCCCTCTTCCAGGGTAGTACAATTTCACTGCAAAGCATAAGCTTTTGGTCCACAATATCAACCAGGAAGGACCATGCTACAGTTACCTCCTCTTGGCACAGTTGCAGTTGCCACATTAACTGTTTGTACAGTGGCCATCGCTGGGTCACCATTCCAACAGGCTTTAAGCTTTATCCACGTTAGGATGGTCAACATTCTGTGTGAAAGATACAGAGCTCTGGTAAGGCTGCATCATCTGTTTTTCTTATTCTAAAGGAACAACCACCAACATTTGATCTATCACATTTTTTTCATGTTGACAAAATCATTTCAATCTGAATTAAAATTAGAGTAAAAAGATGCCAAACCATAAGGAAAGGATAAAACAAATTTGGAAAATGGGGCATTCTACAGAAAAAAATTGACATGATCTTCTCAAGCCAAATATTTTCATACAAGAAACTACTGATAATGAAAAGTAATTTGAGACAAAATGTATGTGACTTGTGATCACAGATTGCACCTTAGTTCACACTCATCGGTTACAAAGAAGATATCCGTGGCGAGGGAGGCAGACTAAGATTATTAAGATCATTTTCATAACCAAAGTCTATATTTTACTCAGGTTTCCTGTATCTCCCTCATGTCCTTATTCCAAGATCCCTTCAGGGCCTCACGCTACACCTAGCTTCCTAGGTCCTCAGGCTTGTCCAGACTGCCAGCTTGTCAGACTTAACTTGCTTTTGATGACCTTGGAAGGTTTGAGAAGTACTGGGTGGTACTATTTTTCGTGGAAGAGCCCTTATGTATTAGAGAGTTATGAATTTGGGGAAGGAAGTTCACAAAAGTGTGTGCTTTTCTCACACACCAGGAGTACTAGATGCTTACGATCTTAGCAAACCATCTGGCTAGGATATCTGTCAGATTTCTCTACTAGAAAGATTACAATTACCCTTTTCTTTTCCTTCCCTATATGACGTTTTCTAGAAGGAAGGTCCTATGCGCTGCTCAAGTTGAGGGAAATGGAGTTATGCTTTCCATCCTTAATGGAGCATTTACAACAATTGTTTAAAATTCTTTTTTGCAGAGATGTGTCTATTCCCCATTATTTATTTGTGTATCTGTTTATATCACAATGGACTCTTGTTTATCTCATACTTCGAGTTATATTTCAATTGTTTCTTTTATTTTGGTGCTTATATTGTTTCAGTGTTAGTCCCCGGAAGCTCTCTTCTATATCCTACTTCAGCCACTGTGCTGTTTTATCTGAAACTCCATGATGACACAAGCTTACCTCTTCATTTCACAAGGTGCAATATAATCATCACTTTAGAATGCATGTGCTCTAGGTACTGCTTTATTTTAAGACTCCCTAACTTCAGAAATAAGATTCGACTTCTTTGTTGTTTTAAATTAATATAAAATGGTAAGAGTTTTGTTGCTTTCTGTATTCTAATCAAATGCAGTGCTTATGTGCTCGAGGCCTGACAAGCGTGGTAATGGAACGCTTGCTAAGTGCCAGTCTACAATTGATATGATTCGAGTGTGTTCAAGAACACTGCGTTGGGAATGGATATTCTCACATGTAGGAGCCACTATGTGTTCACAAAGCAAATCAACAAAGGAAAGAAATACAACTTTGGGAGGCAACTTGGACCTTAGGATATGGAGGATATGAGTCCTGTCTTCTCTCTGTCCTGGCAAACTGGGGCTTGGTTTCGGGGAGCAGAAGAAATGACCACCCCTGAGAGTTTCTGGGGGCCAAGCATCCACACTTGTTAGTAACGCTGCTGTTGGGCATTTTTGCTTCAGCCCTGGTCCTTGTGTCCTAGGCTGGGGAAGATGGTTGTCTGAGCTGTCCAAGCCTGCAGTAGTAATAAAAATGATGATGATGCTAACAGCCAGGCCTGGTGGCGCACACCTGTAATCCCAGCACTTGGCAGGCTGAGGCAGGAGGACCACTGCAAGTTCAAGGTCAGCCTGGGCTACATAGTGAATTTAAGGCCAGCCTAAATTAGAGCAAGACCCTGTTTTAAAACATCTAAAAAAAGATAATAATACTTTTATATTTAGTAGTTAGTGTCAAATTAAGAAATGTCACCAACCTCTTCCCTCCCTATGCTTGACTCATTTATTGAATGAATTAATTTTAGCACAATAGCTATATTTTTCAGAGAGTTTACTACATCATATCTTTTAGGAGCTACCTTGCTGAAAAACCCATCATTGATTAGAATACTTACTGAATGTGAAAGGGGAATTTTGTCTTCATGGTTAATGCTGGACTTACTGTGGGGGCAACTCCCTACTCGAACTTTTTTTGTTCAGCAAGGCCAGGCCTCCCTGCCTCAAATGCCTGGATAGGTCTGAGCCAACTTCAGGTCTTGGGAATGTCTTTGTCCCTAAAGCAGTTCTGTCATTTCGCCAGAATGCAAATGAAGCACTAACCTCATGTTTTAAACTACTCCATAGGCTTGCTGCTAGTATTATGTATAAGTTAATACCACAGCTGAGCCCACCTGCTCACAAATAAAGTCTGTGACCAATGGATGTATGTCAAATGTGCCTTGTCTGTAGCCCCACCTTGCAGAGAGAGAAGATCTCCTCCTTTGCCAAGCACTGGACACTGGACAGGGCCAGTCTCCCTCATGCACACTCGGACTAGTTGGCCTACATTTAATAAAGCTCGACTTTCACTTTGTCTCCATGTCTCCCAGTGTGCTCTTCACCCTCCCGGACTAGCAACTAGGAGCCATATCAATTGATGAGAAGGTCTTCCCTTTCAAACATACTACTAAGACACTTAGCATGTATCACCTCACTCCCTGATGTGTATTTTCATATTCACATCTTCCATGCTCTAAACAAAGGACGGACTGAGCACTATCCGCTCACTGGCTCCATGGTGACCCAGTCTTCCTACTCTGTCCAGCACTTCCATGGCTTTCCTTTTTGATAAGCTGTGGCCAACACAGCCACCTGACAAATCCACTGCAAGGATTAAGTGAGGTCATTTGGCAGTGTGTTATGTCTAACACACAGAAATGCTCAGATGCGCGTTTACTTTTCTCCCGCTGACTTGGGTGATCATACGAGCCTTATCACATGGAGAAGAGGCCTGTTCTCAGATCTATACACTGCTATGGTGTGCTAGCTTTTAAAATAATTTTTGAAAGCAGAGTCCTGATTTTTTCATTTTGCACTGGGCATTGTAAATTATGTCCTGGGCTCACTCAACTAAATTATAAATCCTTTGATGCCTGGAACATCACAGATGACTTTCTACTCCTGATATCATCTTCAATGCTTGGCTCAGTTTCCGGCATGTGGAAGGAACAACTCACATTTATTGAAAATGACAGCAGTGGTTGCATGAAGACAGTGACATAGGGTATTTGCCCTTTGTCCACACAGAACTGCTGGGAACCATGTGCCATCATTTCATGCCTCAGCATTCTAGTCTTTAATTATTGGTAAAAAGAAGTTAAATGAATGTAATCTATTTCAATCACAGTGCCGCTATGCATTTTTTAAAATAATACCATGATCATAGATAGGCCTAAAAGATGTTTTTCAGTTGCATTTACCAGGGGCTCAGAATTTGGGGTGAAGAGAATGGATTTAAAATGACAAAATCAACAGCAATACAGCATTTTAGAATACCACTCTCTGAATGGGTTAACCCTGTAAGGGGGTGGGGGTGGGACTAATGGCGACCCCTGGAGGCACCAGAAGGTTTTACACTACTCTAAGGCTTTGTATTATATCACAGCTGGCTATAAATGGCAATGCTTCAGGCCAGCTGTCTCAGGAACTTAAATTGGGGGCACTGAGCTACTTTCTAAATAGCGTGGGCCAGATTGGAACCAACATCCATGAAGGAAAATCAGCAGCAATGGTACCTAAGGATCTCTGTTGCAGAGTCTGAGGGAGGTGTGTGTGTGTGTTTGCATGTGTGCTGTGTATAAAACACATTTACATGTTTCCATGTATATAAATATACACATATTTCACATTTTTAATTTACTGCAACATATTTTTTAAACCAGGTATATTGCCTCTCTTGGTTGTGGAGTAAAACAATGAAATCAGCATTCCTTACCAGCTGCTGGGTGTAAATCACTAGTTGCTCTAGGAAGAGGAGCGAGTTCTGAGCCTGGCACGTACAATCTTTACCAGAACACATTTCAGCTCTTTGGTTGGGGTTCAATGACAGGCAGTGCCTGCTGATCCTGTACCAAAGGACTTGACTCCAGTTGATGGATTCTTTTTTAAGGGTAACAAACTAATCTTCTTCTGTAGGACAGCAGAAATACAACTGCCAGAAACCTCGGAAGGCAGCTTCCCGTGTGATGTGGATGAAAAGGAGCAGCAGTCCATGCATTTGCATCAACAAACTGCCCAAAGCAATTGGGTATCACACCTTTGGGTATCCCTGCAGGTGCCTTCTCCTTCCCTTAGAATGCCAACAAGTTGATTTACATATTAATGAGAAGCAAGTGAAACTGAGCAATTAGGCAGGTGAAGCTCTGGTTTGGGGAACAGAGATTTTAACTACAGGCAAGTGGAAATCCAGAAACAAAACACCAAAGATAAGTGGACTTTTTCTTCACCATCTCCATTAACCTGGGCTACAATAATGAGAAATTAATTGATTCTTGACAACATTAATGAGTCTTTAAGAACTGCATAATTAGAAAGAAATATCCACTGATGTAAGCAGCGTCTTACTTGCTTGGAGCCAATGTGACTGACTGAATCACAACCCCCTCTGAGAAATCCCCTCAAGGGGCTGAGACTCTGTCCTACAAACAGGCACAGGCAAGGGTGTTGGAAACTTCCCGGGCCCAATTCAATTTCCTCTTTCTTCAGCTGTCTCTGGGGATGAAGACACTGTCTAGACTAAGGAACACTGAGGGGAGAAAGCACTGAGTGGTTCATTGTAGTCCTGTTTTTATACGGTACTGTCTGTATAATTTTTATAATTACCTTGTATTTTTTACCAATTCTCTGTCACCTGTCTCGGCTTCTGTTGTCTTGTTTTGAAAGTGATACAGATTCACTCTGAATTCACTTTGAACTCTCAATTACACGTTTCTAGTGGTAAGTTACATGGTGACTTTTGTATTTTAATGACCCAATCAGTAAGCACCCTCCTCTCATCTACCCACAATAAAGCCTCTTTGGGCATGATAAACAGTTGCAACTTTAACCAAG